ACTCTTTGCTTATTATAAGTTGAACATTTTTCTAATGTTCCATTTGTATTTTTACTTAATTGTAGTGTTTTTTTGGCATGTAATTTTTTGTCATAAAGTTTATCTACCTTTTTCTTTATTGCTTCAAACTTTCATTCAGAGTTAGCAAAGCTTCTCTACTCCCAAGTAATAGAAGTTACTCATATTTTCTTCTAGTACTTGTATACTTTACGTTTTTACACTCAAATGTCTGACCCATTTGGAACTTAACGCTCATGTGTGGTGTTTGGAATGAGTACAAGTTTATCTTTTTCCATATTACTCTGCCATTCTCTCAACAATTATTTAAAAGTTCATCTTTTTGCCCACTGATTTGATAGGCTACCTTTATCATACCCTAAATTTCCATATATAATCAGCCTATTCATGTGTCAATATGAAATTGTTTTAATTATAGAGGCTTTACAGTATGTTTTAATGTCTGGTAGGGCTGGCAGTCCCTCCCTCCCCTAACTCCACCTTGTTGAGTTTTTTATTTTAGTTTTCCAGGATTTTCCTGGCTATTCTTCCTTATTTGTTCTCTATAAACTTGTCATTTCAGGTTAATTTGCATATAAACTATCAGAGGTTTTTCTTTGGCTGTTTATTACTTTTTCTCTGCTATATGAACATTTCTAATTGCAACTTAAGTGCTCTGTGAAAGAGAAATTTCCCTCCTGGGTCCACAGAATGGATATAACTGTCCCATTTAAGCCAAAGGGAGAGGCAGGATTCTATTAGGCTCGCTGCCATCAAGGAGTGGTTCGGGCTACTTGCACCTCCTTGCTTCCCCTGTGCTAATAATCAGTGAGGTCCCCCCTGTGCCGCTGTCTCGATGCGTTTGGTCAGATGTTTTCATCATCTTTTTCTCTCATTTTCTTTTATTCAGCCTTTTGGCTCTAAAACTCTATACTTTCTTAGGATTTCACCCCAGAAATTAGTTGTCATCACTGGAGCTCCTAAATTATTCCATGAGAGACCAGATAGAATTAGTGTTTCCTACTGGACAGTTAAAAAGAGGCTTTTGATGGAATCTCATTGTGGCTCTCCATCTATCCAAAGCAGCACAGTTGACCCAAGAAACTCAACAAGAAGCCATCATTTGAACAGGGAGTGAGTTCAGTTAGGTCACAAAATGAATATACAAAGCTCAGTTATTTTCATATAGAGGCAATTAGAAAATATAATGGAAACATAAATTCCATCACAGTGGCAAAAACATAAATACAAAATGCCAGGAATTAACTCGACAAGACGGTAGTACTTAAATGAAGGAAAAACACTACAAAACTCCACAGAAAGACTTAAATAAGGATTAATTTTGAATAACTACTAGGCCAGATGGTGCTTATAGTTGGGGTAGCCCTATGTAACCCAGATGATCCCAAGTGTCCCAGATTTATGGGCTCAGTTGTTTCTTGATATGAGAATAAAATGGCTCTCTTCCATGCCTTGTAGAATGTCTGTTTCTTGAAAATCTTTAAGCATTTCCAGAGATGATTGAGGGGCATATGTTCCCCTAGATCAAATATTAACTATAGCTATTTCTTTGCTCTCCTGTTCTGGATTGTTCATTTGTTTATTCAGTATACATTTGTTGAGTATGATAAGTAAATGACAAGCAATAGGATATATTGGAATATATGAGGAAGCCATTTGGTATAAAACTAATTTGGCCTGACGTGGCCATCGAGCATACATTGTATATCTGCTTTAAGTATTTACTATGTCCCAGAGGCAAGAACAATGCCCTTAAAGATAAAGATGTAACTTCACCCACATCGGCACTTCCTTAAGGATAAACATCTCTCCCTAAACTAAGGATTGATTGCTAACCTGCTGTGCTCACCTTGTGACCACCCACCTTGTGACCACTGACCGGCTGTGTTCCCGCTGTGTTCACCGAATTGCTGTGCCAGCAAAGCAATCTTGTGACTATTGTAAAAGGGACATTCCAATTATATGTGATGCTTGCTATTTGACAGTATATAACTACTCTGTACACCCCTACTTCTTTGGAGTGCTCCATTCCTTTGTGAAAGGACTCTCCCGGGCTATATGGTCCTCAGGGTTGGCTCATAATAAACTCGCCCCAAGTTTGATTTATAGGTTAGTTATGGATTATTTGTGTCGACAAGTACTTACCATGTCCTAAGCACCCATAGATGCCCACTAACCATCGCTTATAGCTCCTGTGGCTCCTACATCTGTTTCCGGTCACCTTGTCTCAGGACAGTCTCTTCTCTTTCATTGCCCAGCTGAGCACACCAACACAAGGATATTTTGTATAAGAGTTTTGCTGATGTTTTAAGGATACTAGTGGTGGATAAGTGTTGTGGGGGTGGAAGAGGACAGATGTAGTGTGTAAGTACAAATAGCGTAAAAGAAGAAGCAATGAAAAATTAAAGACTACACATCTTAAAGGTCATGGGTCGTCCTCTGTGGGGAATTTCTCACTTTATCCTTTATTCTTAGTTCCTGCCTGCTGCTGTCTTTTGGAATTGCCTCTGCCTGTCTCTCAACATCTCTTGTTTATCATCTCCTCAGCCTCTGTGATTTCTGAACTACTTAGCCCCACTTTCCTAGCCTTTGGGAACTCAACCCTCCTATTATTTTATAATGGAGAGCAATTTAGCTCTCTCTTTCTCCCATTCTTAGCCAGATCACACTTAGGGGGGCTTTTATTTGCCTAACCAAAGAAGTCATTGAGCTGTTGTATCCTGTTCCCACCCCCCAAAAAAGACCACTTCTCACCCTCTGAAAGGAATTCTTATCTCCAGAGCTACAATCTTTAAAATATCATTTATTTTTTTTGTCACCACACTTGGATTTTAAAGAGATCAACTCTCTCCCAAATTAATAAAGCAAGTAGAAGATAATTCCAACTATAACCCAATGATATTTTTTCTGGAATTTAGTAAAGTGATCTTAAAGTTAATTTGGGGGGAAAAACAAGCTTGAAGAACAACAGGACAAATCTTAAAAAAGAAGAGTAATATTGGAGAACTAATTCTACTAAGAGTTTAATTTAAACAACACTTACTGTTATAGTGGAAGAATGAGTGAACAGAGAAGTAAAACATAATACAAAGTCCGGAAACAGATCTAAAGGAAATCAACCACACCCGAGGAAAATACAGGCAACTATGTCATCTTGGACTAAGGAAGGCCTTTCTAATCATGGTAATATGTGTGTGTACATTCTTACAAAAATTAAGGGGGAAAAAAGCATACTTTACCACATCAATGAACCTTAAAAACAGTATGCTCAGTGAAAGAGGCAGACACAAAAGGTCATTTGTTGTATAACGTTATTTATGTGAAATGTACAGAATAGGCAAATCCATAGTAGATTAGTGGTTACCAGGGGCTAGGGGAGGGGAGGATGGGAAATGACTGCTAATGAACATGGGAGTTTCTTGTTAGAGTGATGAAAATATTCTGGAATTAGGTACTAGTGATGGTTGCACAACTGTTAAATATACTGACAACCACTGAATTGTGTATAAAGGCTGAATTTTTTAATACATGAATTATATCTCAATAAAATTTTTTTTATCAGTTTCACTTGGGGTATCATGAGGAAAAAAACCCCAGCATGCCAGTAGAGAACGGTTAAAGAATCTGTTAAAGAAAAAATATTCAATGACATTTGTTAAAGATGATAAGGCAAACTTTATTCAGGACCATCAATATAGGTATAGGGCCCACTGCAACAGGATTTTACTGTGAGGGAAAGAGATTGGGCTCAAATTCTAATACAGCATGGGCAAGTGAGAATTTATAGCCAAGGAGCAGGTGGTCATTGGATAGAAAATTGCTAAGAGAAAACATCAGGCGGTTCTGGCTAAACTGACATAACAGGATTCTTGCTGAAGACAGGCCAGGGTAATCATCGCCTGGGGGATGGTGGAAGATGAGGGGCCTGATCCAATAATGAGGGTGATTAGATATTGAGAGTAGGAGGTTCTGGTTAAATGGACTTAGCAGAGTTCCTGCTAAAACTAGGTTTTACAAGGAAGTGTATGGATGGGCCTAGGAGAAGGTTCAGGAACCTGACTAAAGAATCTTTGTCAAATGTGAATTAAAAATTTTAAAAAGACAAATGACTGATAAACGTATGAAATGCAAATTAAAGCATGAGATGGAATATTTGCCTACTTACTTGGCAAAGATGGAAAGAAATTATAGATTTCCATCATTGGGTAGGTTGCAGTCTAATTGATAGCCTCATATACTGGTGGTATTGATGAAGGGTAATTTGGCAATATATTTCAAAAGTTAAATTGTGTCCTTGTGCTTTCATTTCTAGGAATTTATCTTAAATACTGTGTGCCAATTAAAATACAGTAGTAAAGTAACAATACAGGAAGATGTTTCTGCTGCTAGGGAGAAAAATTAGAATGTATAATACGTTAAATGAGTCAGACCAATAGAAGTGTACATTCGAAAGACTGGAGAGAGAGATAATTTGTATTTTCTTGTATATTATTTATATTTTCTGTTTAGCTGTATTTTTCAAATATTCTATACTGGAGGTATCTTTTGTAATCAGAAAACAATAGAAAAGTTATTTAATATAATACAATTTCAAGCGTGGTGAAGCTTTTTGGGTTATTTCGTTTGGTGAGCACCATAGCGGAAATGAGTGTAGAAATTTCTTGTCTCTCCTGTTTCAAGACTCGAGATGCGGGGTAGGTAAATTAGAAGTCCTCAAAAGTTCCACAGCCCAATTCTCACTCTCTAGTTGCCCATCTGAGTTTCCTTCAGTGGTGTGTATAGTTTGAGGATTTGACCAATTGATTAATTGGCAATTTTGTAACATAGACTATTATAAATTAAACTGTGGTATATCCATTCCAAGAATTTTTCTCTTCAAAGTCAGGCTTTACAACCAGGATCATGTTGAGTGGAGTTCTTTCTGATTATTGACTGGAATTATGTTCCCTGGATGTAACAATTTTCTTCTCCCAACTTCCTAGACAGAATCATGAATAAACTGGAGGACAAGAAGGACCAGATGATACCATGAAGAGAAGTTTACAGGCCCTCTATTGTCAACTGTTAAGTAAGTTGATGTTGCATTTCTTCTCTGCTAGAACATACCAGTGTTATTGTCTGTCCAGTGCCAGAAACTTACACACTTTCTAGAGGAAGATGGGAGTTTGGTCAATGAGGGAGGACAATAAATTTTCCCTCTGCACTGTCTTCTATTGCCGTTGGCGTCAGTTGTAATGTAGACTCCGTTTTAATAATTCTAAATTGGCATGTTAAGCATGGTTAATTTGAGAAGGAGTGTTAAAAACATTATTGCTCTTGGTTTTGTGGCAGAATAAAGAGTGTTCCAGTATGGCCCTCTGTAGGTTCCTCATGGAGAGGGAATGGTAGGCTGTTTTATGGATTTTGTCACATAGAACCCAATACCATTGAGTGACTGTACAGCCTTTGCCTTGAATGTTTTGCATAATTATGCATGTTCTTAAATAATGAGTAGTGAAAATGTGATTTCTTTAGGTTTGGCTGTAGAATGAACAGTGTTTGGTTATGACTTTCTGCGTGTTGCTTGTGTGTTTTGAGGATTGTGCCACAAAGTGCCAGTTGCTGCTTCGTGACTGTATAGCCTTTGGGATTGGAATTGTCACTGAGTAAATGTAAAAACCAGTACCAGTTGCTGGGTTTGATGTTCAGATTGATCCACTTAGGAGAACAGGCATTGCCCACTCCAGGTCAAACCAAAGCCATTGAGTTGGGAAAACTTGGAGTTCCTTGTGCTTGTCTGGTTCTTACTGAGATAAATAGAGGACCTGTCTTCCCTAGGCTGAGTGGCTCCTTGTTCACTTTTGCCAAGAAAATAACATGAAAAGAGATTGAGATGCAAATCACCAGTCAGCCCTTAGAATTTAGCAATTCAGGTTGTTGCACCCTGCAGTGCAAAGCACTTTATCTACAGACAGCATTCTGGTTGGATTTTAATTGACTCATTGCTGCTACTGAATTCTAATCCTTGAAATACAGATCTGTTTTCAGCCTGGTGGAATGTCGCCAAGAGTTAGAGGGACTTTCATGTTCTTTCTCCATGTATGCTATTGGACTATAGGTTTGTTGCTTTTTTTTTTAATGATAAGCTTGCTTGTTAGAGAAAAGGCTTTACAGATTGAAGAAGCAATGTCGTCAAGGAGTGATTACTCTGCCTTGATGGGAGAGAGGACATTTGAAGGATAAATAGGATTGCACACACAGACCCCCCTCAAGAAGGGGAGGCAGGCTTTGCAGGCAGAAGAAACAGGAAATGAAAAAGAGCAGAGTAGATTTGGGAGGCAGCAGAATGTTTGTTGAGTTCACCTATGCTGATTGTATGCCCCAGGTTTTGCATTATATTATAAGGTTATATATTATTTGAAAGGCATTAAATAAGTATTCTATGGTTCAGAGTCAAGTTTTATGCTATAACAAGGCCCATCCTCCCAAGTGGAGCATATGTGAAAGCTCTAGGAGATTTCCTCAAACACTATCTGGATAGCTGCGGAAATCAACTTAGTCTTAATACTTTCATTGTTTGCAAGCTTGCCCAGAAATGCAAGCAGCCCAGAGTGGGTTTCCTGCTGGTTAGGAGGTAGGTAATGGCCCTCGATAAACCACCCTGATTACTAGATAGCTGATTGTGGACAGGAACCCAGCTTTGTACAGAGCTGGGAGGGTGGAGCACATGGGCACTAGATTCAATTAGTCTGACTCCAGAGAACGGTTTTCACAAGTCACTGAGATGAAGAGCTGTTATTTATAGCATTTTTTTTTTCATGAGAGGAATTGGATATTTAGTAAAATCCTAGACAACTTAAACTCTGGCATGCATACATACACATACAATAGCTCATAGATGTCATTGGTCAGCCTGTTATTAAATTATGCCTGGATTAACATTGTCTACAAACAAAATTTTTTTTAATGTCTAGCATAGACTTGAGAACTACAGAGTCACCATAAACTTAGTATGTTACTTTATGTAATCCAGGAAACTGATATTTTTATCTTGGGGGAAAAAACATGATGAAGAGAGTGTTCTGGATATCTTTTGTTGCATAACAAACCACCCCAAAACTTTGTAGCTTAAAGCAACAACCGCCGTTTATTTTGCTCATGAATCTGCAATTTGGGCAGGGGTTGGCAGAGACTGTCTGCTCCACAGTGTCTAGGATCTGGGCTGGAATAACTCCAACAGCTGGAGGCTGGAACAGCCGGGCCTGGCCCAACATCTTTTTTTCCCTGAGGCCTTTTCACATGACAACATGGGGCTTCCTCACAGCATAGTGGCCTCAGGGCAGTCAGACCTCTTACATGGCAGCCCACAGCTGTGATGCCAGGGCAAAACCTACAAGGCTTCTTATGAATTAGGCTTGGAAGTCCCAGAGCAGTACTTCAGCCACATTGTCTTGGCCAAGGAAGTCACTAAGACCAACCCTGACTCAAGGCGAGAGGGATTGGACTCCACCTCTCAAAGGGAAGAGTAGTAAGAACTTGTAGTCATCTTTAGTCTATCAGAGAGAATATCTATTTAAAAAAAAAACAACAAGCAATTACTCACTAGTGTTACTAGTGGACATGAGCCAGTTCATGAGTCATCATTATCTTCAGAGAAGCTGCTCCTTCTGGAATGCCTGCTGTGTTCACAGACATCTGCTGATCAGTTACCTGCATCACCTCATTCATTCTAGGGGTAAGTGCTTCAGGATGAAGAAGTGTTACCAATGTGTAAGTTAAGGACTGACCCAGGGTGACCGGGTAGTGAGTGATGGAGTTGGAATTCACACCTGAGTCTCTCTGACCTCTTTGTTCGTGCTCATTTTCTCTCCCACCTGGTGCCTCCACCACACACAGGAAAAATCAGCAGTGTGGCCCCTCTGTTGTCCCTATGGCTAGACAGGGGTGGTTATAACCGTGATTGGTCAAGTTTGCTTCCTATTGGTGATGTCAGGTGGGGCTGAAAAAATACAGGCTCTCTCTGGATCATTGCATCACAATCAGCAGTCATTGGGGCTTGCGTGAGCCTGATAGGGGCTGAGGGATGCAGTCCTTGGCAGGCAGGGCAATTGAGGTTTTAATATTTTACTTTTATTACAACTGACTGTCTCTGCCTTTGTCTTATTTCTTGGGCTCCATTCCACAGTGAGTGTTTCATCCTCCAGCTTTAGCCCTTTGGGAAGGTTTCTCACATTCTATATGATACCTTGGAACAACTGAAAGCATAAGGATGAGGGTGGTGATGAGAACCTTCGTGGTTATGTAAAAACCAAATGCTGTGTTCATTCTTCTTTTTTATGTAATAGAGTAGGTATGAAGCTAGTGCTAAGAATACCTGGGTTTTGAGCCGAAGACAGGCGTTCAAATCCTGGCCCTACCACTTAGTAGGTGACTTATGTTAGGTGAGTTATTAACCTCCGTGAGCCTCATATGTAAAATGGGAACTGACCATCCACCACATAAGATATCAAGATAACACAGCATATAGAAGGACTACAATAAATGCCAGTTCCCTTACTGGGCCTTCCTGTCTGGAAGAGAGGAGTACACCCTAACTGGGAGCTCAACTGTAACTGACATTTGCATGGGACTTTCTGGTCACATAACTTTTTTACAGAATTTGATCCTCACTATACCTTACAAGGCACGTGGGACATTAATTATCGTTGATCTCATTCTTCAGAGGAGGAAGTTGACATGATCAAGGTTGCCTTGCTGAGGGCATGTCACGATTTGTAATAGGGGAGTAATAGGGGAGGAACCGGCCCGGTGGCGTAGTGGTTAAGTTTGCACGCTCCACTTCAGTGGCCCAGGGTTCACGGGTTTGGATCCCGGGCATGGACCTACACACCATTCATCAAGCCAGGCTGTGGCAGCATCCCATATACAAAATAGAGGAAGATTGGCACAGATGTTAGCTGAGGGCCAATCTTCCTCACCGCCCCCCCCCACAAAAAAACGTAATAATGGAAAGTGAGGAGTATCATCACAGACCTTTAAGAACATGACACTGCTGGAGAGGCACTGAGTCATGAGTTAGCAGATTTGGTCTTTGCCTGGGGGCTGTGTACTGGAAATTCATTGTGTTACTTCGTTGTTAAGAAGACTAAGACAATTACTATGGTCTTATAAAAATAAGTTTTTGTATACCAATATCTATTCAAGTCAAAGTTGTTTGGATACTTAGAGTGATTATGTTTAGTAACTTGTTTGCTCTACATCCAGGCATTTATATTTCTTAAATTGTGTTCTGTATTTTTGCTGGTACATCCTGCTTGCTCACTCCTGCACCCTCTGCATATACTGGACTGTGTTGACCACACAGAGTAACCCTTTGCTCAACCCAAAGACCTGTCCACAGGCCCCTATCTTACTCAGGAGGAGGAAGAGAAAGAGAACTCCTGGTGTGGATTTGGGCCCCTAACCTGTAGAATTTAGAAGAAAAAGATACCACCTTTTCTGCCCTCTTTATCTGGGGCATGTGGATTATGTTTGGTCTCAGGCTTGAATTATGCATACGTATACTCCAAAGTCCATATTACCCACCACTCTAGACTCTTCCAGGCTAGAGTAAAATGAGGAACTGGTTGAGCATGGAGTTCATTTCTGACGGAATGATCTGCCTCTCCTCTGATCTCTCCAACTGAGCAGAAGACTCTGAAAATATTTTAAAGTGAGCAAACTATCTTTGTGCCTTTTCAGCTCTAGCCCTTCTTGCCAACCAGCTACCCTGTGACTTTATTCTCCCCTCCAGTCACTTCTTAAACTAGAAATATCCATATAGTAATGTCTTCCACAAGGGATTAACATTTTTCCTCTCTTTTTCCTCCATGCTTGTCCTTATCCCCTAGTAGACCCAAAGTCCCCACCATGGTCCCTGCCTAGGCCTGTTGTCCTACCATGGTTGTGATCTGAAGTTCTCATGTGTTCCACTAAGATGGAAAGCAATCTGACTAAACTAGTTAATGACAAGGTGTGCTTCATTGACTAAGGAGAGTTAAGGAACTTCTCCATAACTCTCAGAGATATTTGCATTTTTAAGGAAATCAA